AGATCCTGGTAGAGGATCTATACAAAACCCAAACATAACTCATAATGTAAAGCAAGCAAGTCAAACAATGAAAGCATTTAAAAGTGATCTAGTCTCTAATGTAACCCCACTTTTAAGTTAAATCCCCAGCAGAGTCACCAGTTCTGTAATACGGTAGAAGAACTGACTTGGTGTTTTGCATTTTATCGCAATTGTGGTGGATAGCAAGAGTCGCCACCGACTTTTCTTTTATCCAATAAAGGAAATGGTGAAAAAAACAGGAAAGACCTTTTGAGAATTTTCTTGAGTTCGGGGGGTAGGTTATGAAAAGGGAAGGTGTTACCCTTTTCATCCAAAGTTATCTACGGGCTCTTAGTTGCTAGCTCACTTTGAAATGCTTTGTAAAAAATGTGCTTGTGTGGGTTTTGAAAGTATTTTTGAAAAGTGCCTTTGTTTAGGCAAACTTTGTAATGATTCTTGTCTCTATAAAAATGTATACAAAGTGTTGACTTTTGAAAATATTTCATGAAAAGTGTTTGTGTATTTGAAAGATGTTTTGTTTGAAATGTTTTGTAAGCAAGCAACTATAAGCGTTCTACCTACTCAAAAAGTCTTTGTTCATTTCCTCCACCTTTAGATATTTGTATCTTACTATTGATTGGTAAGAAGCCCTATCATTGGATGTGAAGAGGCGGGGGTGGGTCGTCGTACAGTCATAGAAGGCAACATTGTAGGACACCTTAGCAATTTATCTTAAGGGTCTAAGATCGTTTACCGAAGGCAACATTGAAGGGTCATCGAGGGACTACGATCTTGTGATCGAGGGTCATTGCTAAAGTATCCCATATTCGAGGGACATGACTGTTTATCTTCCAAGGAAACAAGTGTGGGTTAACCCTAGAGGTGCAAATGTGCAAAGTGTTTGTTTTCATGCTTCTTGTCTTTGAATTTAGGGTTTTCTACATGTTGATTTTATGTTTTTCCATACAAACCCTAATTACTAGCAATTATATTGAAAGCAATAAATTGCGGAAATTTAAAATTCTACGCTATTACATCATTTAGGGGATTGGGATACAAGTCACAAATGGAGGATGAAAACGATTAAAACCTACTTACTATTACAACTATATTGAATAATGAATAACAATAAAAAGTATACAAGAATATAAAGATGATATAAAAGAAAAGAAAATTGTGTTTGAGTTTTTTAATGAAAGGTTTTAACCTTAGTTAAACTAATAAAGAGAAAGAAAATAAATAACTAGCCTAAGTTAATTTAATAAAACTAAACATAAATTAGTTTAATAAAAGAAATTAAATTAATTAAGAAAATGAATTAAATTTGTTAAGAAAATATTTTTAGGGTTTTTGATGGAAGAGGGATTTTAGTAATTTTTAACCTAATTAAAACTAATTAATTAATTAGAAAAAATAAATTAACTAATTATTTAACCTAAAGTCTAAGTTAATTATAAAAAAATTAAATAAACTCAAATCTAATTTAATTCTAATTCTAAAAGAAATTAATTAGCTAAGAAAATATTTTTAGGGTTTTAAGGAAATAAAATGGAAATAAAATAAAAGATAATTAGTCTAAATATTTAATAAAATATTTTTGGTATTTTTGATTAGAAATAATAATAATAATAATAATAATAATAATAATAATAATAATAATAATAATAATAATGTAAAAAAAAGGAAATAAAATAAAAATAAAAATAAAAATAATAAGTCAGGGGGTTAAAAAATGGAAATGAGGGTTAAAGATAGTAAAAAGGGGCGCTAGGCCTAAAGGTGTTTTTTTTTGTAATCAGAAAAATTAATTAAAAAAATGTATGAATGGGCCTGTATTAAAAGTAAAATGGGGGTGATAGTCAACAATTCAGATTGAGCCCAAGGCAATAACCCAGCGCCTGTTTGGATCAAGTGTGGTTGCCCTCCTGAGGTATACCATGTGCTTGCATTGGAATGTGTTGGATTTATCTTTACAATGATCTAATGGTGGTAAGATGAGGCTTCATGATGAACGCGTGTGGTCTGTTGCACTGGATATGTAAGAAAAATTAAGAAAAATACAAAAGGGTACCACTAGGGCTCGAACCCAGGTCCCTATAGTTCCAAGCCTTACGCGCACGCTTTCTACCACTGGGGTGGCTATACATCTGGTGTTATAAACAAAACCAAACATATATATTTGAAACACGTTCCTTGATATGACTTCATCTTCTTCTTCGCGCCAGAAAGTCCATCACCATTGTTCAAATTTGTAACTTCCTCATTTCTCAACCAAAATGGAAAATATAAACATGAAAGTTGTTTGAAATTTAACCACGATTCCAAATATGTAACTAACTTAAACAATAGATCAAAGATGAATACAAATTTTTCTTGGTACCAAATCTTACCTAATTTTTTCATAAATTTCAAAACTAAAATTCACACTACTCAGGCAATATAAATGAATTCTAAGGACATGGTTAATTTCAGGGCTATGATGTCTATATTTTATCTTCACAAATGGAAACTAAATGATGCCTATATGAAGAGATCAAAAGTAAGAAAACTCACCTTGAAAATGGAATTCGTGTTTTGAGTTTGAGCAACTTTCAAGGTGTTGTAATGATCTGGTTAGCTTCCTTGAACCTCCAGGAAGCTAATGCAATGATTAGTTTGCATTGAGGATGGCTAAATCGTGCTGGAGAAGTCAATGTGCAACACCCTATTTTTGGTTATAGAGGATAGTGAATATGGAGTTACAGTTGTGTAACATATGTTGGGATGAGTTATATTTGATGTGAGGAAGCTTTAGGACTGATTTGGAGAAGAAACGCACGAGTGGTTTATGAGATGGAAGTTCTTGGGCAGAACTGTGGTAAAAATGGAGTTTTTATGCAATTTCTGGTTTGATTGAGTTTAAGGGAGTTTCAATGCTTGTTTCTTCGTGTCCTAGGCTTGAAATGCCTCAATTTATAGGAAAAGATTTGAGAGTTTGAGGTGATCAGAAGTACAAGATCACATGTTGTGGTTTCTTAACTTGTTTTTGAAGAAAGCTTGACAAGCATTGTTCCAAGGCATGGTACAAGGCTTGTAGAGTGACTAGCAAACTTTAAACATGTTTATCTGACTTTGTATGTTGAGTGAGTGCTGAACAAACAAGTTAGAAGCTCAAGAAAAGTTGACTTTGTGATTAAAACAACTTTTCAAGAATGGAATGGTAACTTTGTACTATAAATGGAAATGCAACTTGGATAATGGCTCAAATGCTTGGAAAATAGCTCTAACAGTTATGTAATTAATTAATTATCGAGTGAAACACAAGTTAGAAGTCTGCAAAGCAAGATTATGCAACATGGCTATGAGATTGGATTAAATGTTCATCAAGAAAATGACCTATAATTCAAGTTTATGAGATCATCTTCATCTCTTCGAAACTTCTAGATCAAGCATGATCTCTTCAAGTTCTTGGACATTTTGGAAAGCTTGAAGCATTGTCTACAACCCCTCTTTTAATCACTTTTGCTAAATCAAATTGGAACTAGGTGAAAATAGGCCAAGAAGTTAGGTAAAAAATCTGCCTAAACTAGGTCAAATTTTCACCAAGTGTTTTTAAAAAAAAGTGCACAACTTCATGAATTTATAGCTCAAAATCCAAGAACTTCTAGGACTTGATCAGTAAAGAAAAGTTTTATTTCTCATTAAAATCTACAACTTTCATGTTGAAAGTTTTCTTTGAATCATCTTGCATCTCGGTGAAAAATTGGCATGAAGTAATGAAATTGTCATGTATAAAACACTTAGAAAAATTTCTAAGTCTTGAAAATTTAACTTTTCACATTGACTTTTGACTTTCTTGATATCTTGATGATCAAACTTCATATTTTTGAATGTCTTGATGAATTGTGATCTTTGAAATCAAATCTTGATCAAAAAGTAAAAGTTTGACTTTTTGTGCATCAGTTGATTAAATTTCAACTATCAATCTATTGATCTTGAGGAATGTTTTGAACTATGAAATTAGGTCAATATGTTGTATTCAAATCCTTGAGATTATGATTCAAGCTATTAAATCATGTATTAGGTCAAAAGTCACTGATTAGTCAATTACAGTTAAAATCCTAATTTTGACCGTTTTACCCCTTTGTTAAATTGAGTGTTTTTCTTGAGGGATTGTGATTAATACTTGATCAAATGATGAATAAGACTTTAAAATGTTGATGTTGACCAAAAATCATGAAGTTTGATTGTAGGTTGACTATAGTTAACTTTTTTACCCAATACAGTTGATTTTCAGTCATCTGGTCAATTGTTGGAGCAAATTTGTGATTCTTGGAAGTCTATAATGATCCATGAAGGTCATTTGAGGCATTAGAAGTCCAATTATCCTTGTGAAAATCAAAACCCTAATTTGAGGCATCAGTGTTTAGGAGATGGTTTGACCTAGTCAACACTTGTGCAAACTTGAGCTTTTGGAGATCTTGTGAGAAATGTCTTGAGAAATGAGAGGGTATATTTTAGGGTACAACAGGTGGTGTCTTAGAAGTTGTAATTCATTTTTGTAGAAAAGTTCGTATTCGACACAGGTGTGTTCGACCTAGTCGAAGTAGTAGAAGTCAGTTGTATTCGACAAATTCGAATACACCATATAACTGTTGTGTCGAAGTCAAAATATAACTTGTATATTTTAGACTCATATTTTGTATGTTTTGAGCTTGGACCTTGATCGTCTATAAATAACCATAACTTTGTATAGTTTTAAAAACTTAACAACTTCAATAATAACAGTTTCACAAATTCAAAATATATTTTCTCTCTTTTCTTTCTTCTTCTTCCTCATCTTTCTTAAAAACCCTAATTGTTTCAACAATTACCCTTCTTTTTAAACACTAATTCCCTATGTACTCTATTTTTTATGTTTAATTAAATTTCTTTGATGTGTGTTTTTGCTTTTATTTTCATTTTTTGTTAACATTTAAAAAAAAAAAATGAAATAGTATGTAACGAAGTAGATTTTATATATGGTAACATAATATATACTTCCTTAAATAAAATATTTTATTTAATTTAATAGAGGGATAGGTGCGTCTTTTATTAAATACATATTTTTCTTTTCTTTAATTTTTCCTTACTTTCACGTATACCGACAACTTAATAATCGTGTTTTACTTTTTACTTATACTTTATTAACTTCTATTGCTTTTACCAATATTTTAAAAATTGGATAAGAAATTGAATCGGTGAAATATTTTGGTTAATATTCTATTGATTCAATCTAAATCTATAGTTACCGTCTATTAAATAAATTAATAATATAAAATTAAATTCTATAAATATCACATAATTATATATTCTCAACTTATAAAATAAATATTAAAAAAATTTATTATAAAATTATTATAATAATATCAATGACACATAAAATAACACAACATAATTATATATTTGATTTTAACTTTTATTTAAAAATAATTTGAACAAATGAAAGAATTAAAAGAAATAAAATAAAACTAGTAATAGCTCGAGGATCTTGTTCCCTGATACGCGTGACATCTTCCCATTACCCGGATCGTTCTGCCATCGATCGCATCGCATCGTTCACTCAGAGCCCTAAATCGCAGTGGTTACGTCTTCTTCAACCGCAAACCCTCCACAATTGCTCACTTCTTCAACTTGAGGTTATTTCTACATTTTGCATATGAGAGGTGTATACGTGAGTTTGAAGTTTAATACTTATTTTCATCTCATGCATGATGCAGGGACAGAGAAACAAACTGTGTGAAAAGAAGCTCTGTTCTGTAGTGATCACGAAGCTCTTCACCAGCTCATGCCCACAAAACCAAGACACTTTGATTCTTCTCAATCTAAAACCCCAATTTGTGTAGATCTTCTGTTCCCCCCTGAACTTTAGAGGGGAAATTGGGGTTTTGAACAAGTTTGGAAAATGAGGCGAAGAGCAACAGATTTTCGAAGGCCAGTGCGGAAAAGGGTTCCTGATGTGTTGTGGTGGGCATTGTGCGTTGCTGTGGTTCTTCTCTTCATCTATATTCTGACCAGAGGGACTCAGATTGAGTCTAGACCGGCTTTGTCCAAGGTATTGCTTTTTTCTCAAATTGTTTTGTTTGCCCAAAAATTTGTATGAAAACAGTGGTCTTCTCGCGCTGTTGCGGCTGTAACTTTTGTCGCACTTAGGTTTATCGTTCGAAAACTCTAAATTAGCTCCGCCCCCCCTAATTTTCGACCTCTCAACTTCTTTTTCAAGGGTGTTTAGGTCAGTTTGTTTTATAGTAAGTGCCCTAACTTTTATTTACGAAGATTCATGTGAAGCCCTTTCTTCATCTTCTTCACGAAAACTTCAAGTTTTCTTTCTCTGGTTCTTCTCTCACAAAGCCTTCTTCTGCAAAGCTTTCTTGTTTTCCGATGACAAATACTGGCGGTGTCAACAAAGACTTCAAGTTTTCTTTCTCCAGTTCTCTCACAAAGCCTTCTTCTTGTGGGAAGCCTTCTTCATTTCGACGACAAAGTATGGTAGTTTCAGCCAGTGTTACGGAGACAGGGCTCTGTTCTATGTTCTAATTTCACCTCTCCTTGCACTCAACAATGACTTCTTCATCTAAAACACCAACCTCTGTTTTCAGTTTTACCTCTGCCTCTGTTTTGATTACTTTTAGAATTATTACTAGTACGTTTTGTTTTTTTATAAACAAAGTTAGTTATAATTATTACGTATATATGTATCCCGTTTGGATTTTTGTTTGTCTGTATACTGTTTTTAGTTTTGAAATAGCGGCTATCTACTATAGCGGGTTTGAGGTCTGGTGCTTTGTGCCATAATCTAAGATTAACAACATAATTCTAATATAATCTGCATTGGAGAGAAACAACTGGATTTGTGAGATTGAAGATTTTTGACTGCAGTCCAATTTCTCTACCTTTCTTCTTTTTTTATTTATTTCTTTATAAGGAATGAGTGGTTAGTGGGTGAGTTGAATGGAATTCTACATTAGATAAAAAATTAAAGTAATTCCAGAGGGAATACACCTCACCTAATCATTGGATTTGAATCTTTACCATGATAAATTGCTACAATTATATAGGTAATTCTACATTGGGTCTTTGTTTAGCATATAACTTGTATCCTATTGTGCAGAGAATTTACAAAAATGATAGGATTATGGAAGGCCTTAATATTACTGAAGAGATGTTAAGTTCAGACTCGGTGACCCGACAATTGAATGATCAGATATCCCTAGCAAAAGCTTTTGTTATAATTGCTAAAGAAAGTAACAATCTCCAATTTGCTTGGGAACTAAGTGCTCAGATCCGCAATTCGCAAATTCTTCTCTCAAATGCTGCCACTAGGCGTTCTCCTTTAACAACCAGAGAATCAGAGAGTGCTATCCGTGATATGGCGTTATTGTTATTCCAGGCCCAGCAGCTCCATTATGACAGTGCAACCATGATCATGAGATTCAAAGCAAAAATCCAGACTCTTGAAGAACAGGTGAGTTCTGTAAATGAAAAGAGTTCAAAATATGGACAAATAGCAGCTGAAGAAGTCCCAAAAAGCTTATACTGTCTTGGTGTCAGATTGACAACAGAATGGTTCAAAAATCTTAATTTGCAAAAGAAACCAAAGGATAATGGGGTCCTCGAGATGAAGATTAATGATAGAAATCGTTACCACTTTTGTGTGTTCTCTGATAACATAATTGCAACTTCGGTCGTAGTCAATTCAACTGCAAAAAATTCTAAAAATCCCAATATGATTGTTTTTCACCTTGTCACTGATGAAATAAATTATGCTGCGATGAAGGCGTGGTTTGCCATAAACAATTTCCGCGGGGTTACTGTAGAAGTTCAGAAGTATGAAGACTTCACTTGGTTAAATGCTTCTTACGTTCCTGTGCTTAAGCAACTTCAAGACTCAGAAATACAGAGCTACTACTTTTCTGGAAACAGTGATGAAGGAAAGACACCTATCAAGTTTCGTAATCCCAAATATCTATCCATGCTTAACCACCTGAGGTTCTATATCCCTGAAGTTTTTCCTGCACTGAGGAAAATCGTGTTCCTGGACGATGATGTCGTGGTTCAGAGGGATCTTTCTGATCTTTTTTTAATTGATTTGAATGGGAATGTTAATGGAGCTGTTGAGACATGCATGGAGACATTTCACAGATACCATAAATACCTGAACTATTCTCATCCTCTTATAAGAGCACATTTTGATCCCGATGCTTGCGGATGGGCATTTGGAATGAATGTATTTGATTTGGTTGAATGGAGGAAAAAGAATGTAACTGGCATCTACCACTATTGGCAGGAAAAAAATGTAGACCGAACACTCTGGAAACTCGGTACCTTGCCGCCTGGACTGTTGACATTTTATGGATTAACTGAGCCCTTGGATCCGTCGTGGCATGTACTGGGTTTTGGCTACACAAACGTTGATCCTCAGTTGATAGAGAGAGGGGCTGTACTACACTTCAATGGCAACTCTAAACCTTGGTTGAAGATTGGGATTGAAAAATACAAGCCCATATGGGAAAAACATATTGACTACTCTCATCCCTTATTGCAGCAATGCAACTTTCATTGATTCTGTATTAAGCTTTATTAATTGGAACTTCAAAGTTCAAACCTTGGTGGAAGATTTCGGTTGACAAGCACTATTGCCACTATTATTGAACATTCCAAACCTCGATTGCAACAGTGAAACTATTATTGATCCGTGGAGCTGGGAGGTTAAATGATCTTTAGATTTCAAATCTAATGGAGGTATTTATTTTGCAGTAAAAAATGCGCTTACAATTTTCGAAGTTCAAGCATGTTCGACGGCTATAACAGGGTTGTAAGCATATCGATGTTCATTTCTTTTAGATGCAATATTAGTTCATAGTTTCTTTGTGATTTTAGTCAGAGTTTGGATCTGCTGTAATTTTGTTTTGTCCACTAGTACCACCACCATTACCACTAATATTTATTTTAAGACCTGATGCACTATTAAATAGATGTAAATCAATATTCATTCATCCGCTTAAAGGGTTGATCACTCCAATAAATATTTTTTCAGACACATTAGTTATTGATTAAACTTTAGATCAAATGATTAACGGATTCAAACATCTGCATTTTCAAGAATTTTCCTTCCCCTCTCGTGCAAATTCGAAATCATTGTAGCTAGTATAACCATTTTTATCTTATTTCATTTCATTGATTTTATAAAGCAAAATTCTGAACTGTGTTTTTCGATTAGATGTGATGTGGTAGACATGGTTTGGCCCTTTATTGACTGAAAATGTGTTCCATCTTCTAGCTGTGTTTTACACTTCGAATCTCACTTATCCTGAAACTTTTGTTTATACCCAATAAATGTAAAATTACATAGATTATTTCTGTTTTAACTAATTTTTGTGGAACGGAATGATGTTTGATACTTAAACCATAATGTCCTTCAACAAATTATCCAATTGTTTTTTATGACAAGATCAAAACAACAATAAAATGTATTTCAAAAATTTCCTGAACTTGACTTAAATATTTGTGTTGTGGAAACAATGAATATAGAAGATGAAAGTATTGATGCATATGCTTCGGATAAAATATATCCTAACAATGATGAAATTATGTTGGATTTTCTGCAAAAGAATTGTAACACAAATAAGAAAGTCATGTTGTGCCTTGATGCAGTTTCATGTTTGTCAAAGCTTACTAGAAAGGCCTTTGAAAGACTTTGAAAAGAAGAACGCTAAAGAAGGATTTGCAATAAAAAAAAACAGTTTTATGTAATGGACTATCGAATGAAATTCTATAATTCAAGAAAGAGATATGAATGCAAGAACTTATTTTTCTGTAAGAGAAAAAAAAACTTATATTCCTCCTTGTAATGAACTAATAGGACAATGGCTCAAGACATATAAACGATTTTGAAGCTGACAACCATTAACTGTCGGAGGTCTTCAAGTAACTAGTTAATTTTTTTCATAGTAGCATTTCGAATCCTAATTCAATACCTCCTGTTTATCTGCATCCAAATTGGAATAAAGGTGGTTTATCTATCTAGAACTCAACTTCGAAGAGCCCAACAAACTTGAAAAAAAAAAAAGTCTACCAAAACTATTAGATCAATAATAATCCTATGAAAAGAAGTCGCCAAATTATATGTATTGGATTAATTTAAAAATGAAATTTATTTTTCCACTCTTATGGTGTGACTCAATTTCTGAAAACAAAATCGTGTTCAAGTGTTTTCAGAGATACATCTTCGAACGTACTTTATATCACCGCATCTTTCGTAAATCGAACAGACACTCCATTTTTGCCAAAAATTGGTCCGGAGATGCGTCTGCAAAAATTTATGAGGTGAATTCAGAGATGCATCTCCGATAACTTCTATGCATGCATCTTAGACTCCAAGAGCAAAACATGCTTTGGGAGTAGTACATTTTAATGTATGTGGACCATTTGAAGTACCTTCATTTGGAGGAAACAAGTATTTTGTGTCTTTTGTGTATGAGTTCACAAGAACGACATAGGTAGCACTCATCAAGTTTACGCATGAGGTGTTTGCTGAGTTTTAAAAGTTTAAAGTGAAGGTTAAAAAACAGAGTGGTCAGAAGTTGAAAGTTCTCAGAACTGATGATGGAAGTGAGTACAACTCTACAGAGTTTAAGAAGTGTTGTGAGGAGAATGGAATTAAGCATGAGGTTGTTCCTCCATACACTCCTCAGCACAATGGTCTTGTTGAAAGAAGAAATAGAACTTTTCTTGATATGAAAATCAGCATGCTAAAGGAGAAGAAGCTCTCTCACACCTTGTGGGGAGAAGCTGTTATCATTACAACATATATGCTCAACGGGTGTCCAACCAAGAAGCTGAAGGA